ATATTTTGCGGGCGTCGGCGACGTGTCGGCAAATTCCCTCAGATCGCATCTTTGATAAATTCACACTGCGTGATTGTAACTCGCGTGAACAAGCTTTGCCTCTGATTTCGGGAATTTGTTGGCGATTTCGCAAAACCTGTCGGCAAGTGAAAAATCGGGCTAAAATCGTGCAGTGTAAACTCGGCATAAGACTTGATGGCTGCTCTGTCAATTCTTCGTCATCAGTTAGGAACCTAGGTGTACTATTTGATAGCAATCTTTCCTTTGAAAGCCACGTTTCTAGTATTTGTAAAACTGCATTTTTCTATCTCAAAAATACATCTAAATTACAACCCATGCTCTCAATGTCAAATGCAGAAATTTTAATTCATGCGTTCATGACCTCAAGATTAGATTATTTTAATGCTTTATTGGGTGGTTGTTCTGCACGCTTAAACTCCAAATGGTCCAAAATGCAGCAGCTAGAGTTCTTACTAGAACCAGGAATTTTGACCATATTAGCCCGGTTCTGTCAACACTGCACTGGCTCCCTATTAAACATCGTATAGATTTTAAAATCTTGTTTATTACTTATAAAGCCCTGAATGGTTTAGCACCTCAGCATTTGAATGAGCTCTTGTTACATTATAGTCCTCCACGTCCGCTGCGTTCTCAAAACTCTGGCAATTTGATAATACCTAGAATATAAAAATCAACTGCGGGCGGCAGATCCTTCTCCTATTTAGCGCCCAAACTCTGGAATAATCTACCTAACATTGTTCGGGAGGCAGACACACTCTGCACACAGACACACATACGCTTCTAATATTCAAATCCGTTAAAGGATTTTTAGGCTGCATTAATTAGGTCAACCGGAACCGGGAACACTTCCCATAACACCCGATGTACTTGCTACATCGTTAGAAGAATGGCATCTACGCTAATAATAGTCTGTTTCTCTCTTATTCCGAGGTCACCGCTGCCACCAGATCCAGTCTGTATCCAGATCAGATGGTCATTGAACGAGCTCTTGTTACATTATTGTCCTCCACGTCCACTGCGTTCTCAAAACTCTGGCAATTTGATAATACCTAGAATATCAAAATCAACTGCAGGCGGCAGATCCTTTTCCTATTTAGCGCCCAAACTCTGGAATAATCTATCTAACATTGTTTGGGAGGCAGACACACTCCATCAGTTTAAATCTAGATTAAAAACCCATCTCTTTAACCTGGCTTACACATAACACAGAGTTTTGGTTCCTTGTCGCTGTTGCCTCTGGCTTGCTTAGTTGGGGACACTTAATTTCCAGCGATATCGTCGACTTGATTGCACAGACACTATTTAAACTGAACTGAGCTGGATGATGACATCACTGAATTCAATGATGAACTGCCTTTAACTGAAAATTGAGTGTTTACTTCTGTCATTTTGCATTAATGACACACTGTTTTCCTAATTAATGCTGTACAGTTGCTTTGACACATTCTGTATTATCAAAAGCGCAATATAAATAAAGGTGACTTGACTTGACTTGACTGTTGACACTGTGCAGGCTTATGTGCATTTTTATGTGCTTTGTACAAGTTGTCACCGCATATAGCTGTTGACACGGTTTCAGTCTATGTGCATTTTCATGTGCTTATTACGTTGCTGTGTCTGCCCTGTATTCAGTGCAGGTGCTCGTTCATTTTGGCTAGATATGCAAATTCAGTATACCTGAGCAAAAGTTACTCATTTGTCTAGCCGTGCCTATCAGCTACGAGCTTTCCTAGCGAGCGTTGCTATTGGTTGATAATGTCTGTTGTTCTACTCCATGTTTGGTGTAGCCTTAGCTTGCTGGCCTAGGGCCCATTCTTCGTACCTCACTTAATACACCTGAGATGATTTAAAAGATACCTGATCTTTTAATCGTGATAACTGATCTCTGGCTAATTTGGTTCTTCAAAGAGCAGGTCATTTGCAGATCTGATTAACATATCTGGATTAAGTTGTCTAAGATTACTGCACTTTCTTGTGTTCCCCGTAAAGGGCAGATGTATCGATACTCGAAACCACGATCAGCAATGCAGCGATTGGCTGGCGGCAAGACAGCAACGTAATGACATCATATAATTAAAGACACCTGACAAAAAACTTGACAAATTTCTGGACCTTTATAAAGGAAACAGCCAAGTGAACAAACTACATAAATGTTATAATAGATGTAATAATAGATAAATAAAAAATGTTTTTATTATTTTTTTTTTACATGACTCCCAATTATTTATATTCACGATTTCTAGTATTTGTACAGGTATTACGTTTTTATTTCAATGTTGTAGTTAGCAATTCATGTAATTTTATCTTTGAAGCAGATTTGTTATGTGACAGCATTAATAAAAAGTTATCTGCATCTCCTGCGCTCCATCAATCCACTCACATAATAGCTGTCAGCACTCAAATTTATGCACGACTCAGATTAACTGTATGTGTGTAAGACTCTAATACAATTATAACGTAATTATTTTATCACGAATAAATCTTTCAGTGAGTAAAACTGGCTGTCTCTATAGTATTATAGACTACACAACACTATAATATTATAAAAAATTTTTTTAATTATTATCATCATTTTAAATTATTAATGTCCCCGGATTAGTAGGGTACTCTTGTAATAAAGTAGCAGTGGCTGGGATAGATTTTAAATATTAATACCACTTAAAAAGATGCAATCTAATCCTTCTTACATGAAATAAACTGCTTCTGAGAAGGTTTAAGTTTACGGACCTGTTGCTATGACAGCAAGTCCAGGATGAGCTTCAAAGAACCAAATAATCCAAGATCATGCCAAATCGTCAACAATCAAATCCAGCTAACTGAGTAAGCGACGTACAAAGAACGGGCCCCTGATCTTCGCTGCTCTCACGGTGGGATTGTACATCATTCCCACATGAGATTCTTTCAATGTAAAGTGAACGCTCGATAGGGAACGTCTCCGGTTACTGTCGTAACCTCAGTTCCCTGAGAGCGGGAACGAGACATTGTGAAAATCACCGTGCTTGTTGCTCGATCAGTAATGCAGCATTCAGTCTCAGATTCTGACGCAATTGCCGTTCTTGCCGCATTTATACTGCCTGCCAAGCCTGTCAGTATTTGTATGTGATTTGCATAGTTGAGCGTCAATTGGCCAGTTTGTTAAACTGGCGTTATCCTATAAGACTTCAGGATTTTGGAGAAGGGGAGGAGTCCCCACATGTGATTCTCGCAATGCCTCGTTCCCGCTCTCAGGGAACTGAGGTTACGACAGTAACCGGAGACGTTCAGTAATTTGAAACCAGAGCACATAAAAATACACAAGCGTTTTTGAAAGCACGGCTCAGTTTACGTTTCCACTGCAGTTTAGTACCGCTCTAGAGTGGGCTGTATTATAGACAATTCCTCTACTGCCACGACCACCTGAAAAACTTTTTCATTCCGCATCGCCCCATCAAGCTCTCGCTGGATCCGCTCCTCTGCTATCAACGAGAGGAACGTCTGTACTTCCTCAACAGACCACGAAACAGCCATTTTGTTGTTTAAAAAAGGAGCGCTTGTTCAAAAAAAAGTTGATTTCGATCCTCGCTGACTGTGCTGATTTAATCTAGCGGGTCTAGTGTCTCGTGTCGCAAGTTCAGGTAGTGGCGATTCTCTCCGGCCAATCAGTGATCAGCAGGGTTTACACGTCACATTTTGGTAATGGTACGGCTTGCTTGGAACCTCAGCCGAGGGGGTACTGAAAAAAGTACCATTAGAGCGTGTACAAGATTGAGTTGGTATTACTGGTACTGTAAAAAGACCCTCCCCCAAACAATTCTAAAAACTCACCGGATCTATACGAATCACACAAATGACCCATTTTGAAATCAAAACCCGAATTTTGCCGAAAGGTGACAAGTTTGCAACCCTGCAAGCACAAAGCTTACTGTGATTTATTGGATGAGAGGTGTGCTTACAATGTTCTGTTCATTAACTGAAAACAGGCTAGACTAATCGAATTTTGGGATTTAAGAATCGATATCATTTCGTAAAAATGAAAATCGATTAAAATAAAGAAATTTATATTTTTTACCCAGCCCTATGGTCCAGCCCATTTAAAATGTGACCTAATTGGTTTGCTGACTTTACGGTGAAACTGTGTTAATTTGTCACCTGTGCTGTCACACAGATACACTGTTTCCATTCAGATCTAATCACAACAACGTAGGAAACAGATCCGGCGTGACGCAGCTGACACAGAACAGCATACGTTGTTTACGTCCAGCTGATATTCTCCAAAATGGCGCTACAGGGTGATGCAGAGGAGACGAAGTGTTGAATAAAGTTGTTATTTTTTTTCTTTTGCGCACAAAAATTATTCTCGTAGCTTCGTAAAATTACGGTTGAACCCCTGATGTCACATGGATTATTTTACAGATCTCCTTGCTACGTTTCTGGACTTGGGAACATTTCAGTTGCGTTGCTGTCTATGCAGGGTCAGACAGCTCTCAGATTCCATCAAAAATATCTTAATTTGTGTTCTGAAGATGAAACGAAGGTCTTACAGGTTTGAAACGACATGAAGGCGAGTAATTAATGACAGAATTTTCATTTTTGGGTGAACTAACCCTTTAAGGTCCAATTAACTAGCATGCATATTTACTAGCATATTGGCTGTTTAGTAGTACTTATAGAGCACATATTAATGGCTTATTCTGCATGACTATATTTTAGATTCCTTAATCCTACCCCGTACCTAAACTTAACAACTACCTTACTAACTATTAATAAGAGGCAAATTAGGAGTTTGAGGTGAATGTCGTAGTTAATAGTAAGAATTACACTGCATTTACTGCAAACTAACAAGATACTGGTTGTATCATTTACATTTCACAGAGAATAACACACCTTCAACTTAAACACAAAATTATGCAATTTGTAACAGTGTGACTATGACTGAAGGGACACACACACACACACACACACACACACACACACACACACACACACACACACAAAGTCACCTTGAAAAAGAGCAGTTTCAGATGAAAACAACCTCTCTGCTTTCCTCATCTCTCTCCTCTCTTTCTCTGCTTGTGATGGTCTCGGGCATATCTGAAGCACTCTGATAGAGACACAGAAACATGGTTATGCTCACAATATATACACACACTGTCTACACACTATCATAAGCTTGTGTACTTTGACATAGGATATGAAACATGCAAAATATTATTAATAGAGATGCACCGACTGCAATTTTCTTGGCCGATTCCGATTTCCGATTTTTCGTTAATGTGATCTGCCGATACCGATTTTTGCCGATTCCTATTTTCTTTCTGAGAACTATAATTGACAGCATATACAAACAAAAATCTGCATTTCTTCAACGCAAAGTTTTATTTTCATAAAAAAACCACAAGTAAAAAGTCAGCAATAAAATAAGAACAAAAAAAAAAAGGCAAACAACAGCACAAATAAATGCAATAGAATAAAGAGAGCTATGAAACTAAGTTTTTCAGGTTAAGTAAGTTTTTATTCAGGTAAGAAATACTACAGAAATTAAAGTAATCAAATGTAAAATAACATCCACTTTACACTTTAATTTCTGTAGTCTTCATTGTAAAAATTAAATACAGATTAATGCTTACATTAAAGTTATAAAACGTATTCAGGAGCAGAAAGTGATTTTCTTTGTCTTTTGTTCTTTGATTAACATGACAGACAGCAGCAAAGAAGTGAGACTGACCGACCCATCACCGATCCGGGCCGATCATGAGGAAAATCGGCTGATTCCGATCCCTGGCCGATCGATCGGTGCATCTCTAATTATTAAGAAACCAAGTTGTAATGATTATAACAATTAAAGGGTGATTTCAAAAACAGAAAGCCAATTCTGAGGGTTAATATTGTGTAAAATATTTTGACACAATCCCTTTAGATCAGTCTTAAAAAAAAAAAACAGTACTGTAACTACAATATTGTGAAAGGGTACAATTTAAAAGTGCCTTTATTTGAAATAGAAACCTATATAAATGTCTTCACTGTCACTTTTGATTCATTTAATGTGTCCTGGCTAAAGTATTAATTTCTGTAAAAAAAAAAAAAAAAAATCCCCAAACTTTTGAATTGTTTTCAACATTGTTAATAAAATGTCTCTTGAACACCAAATCAACATATTAGAATTATTTCTGAACGATCATGTGAAACTGAAGTCTGAAAACCCTTTACATGGTAATATTTCTCAATATGACTGTTTTTACTATAGTTATTATAATCAAATAAATGCAGCCTCTGTGATATTAAGACATTCGTCAATGACACTTTTTCGCTTTTTATTCTTCAGACTTTTAGAAGCTTTTGGGGGCCTTAACATGCTTAACATTTTGCACACATGCCCAGGCCAAAAGATCGCAGTGGGTTTTCAACTACTGAATATGGGTCAAATTCAATGAATGGGACATTGAGTCACATTGGGCTCCTCGTGTCTATGAACCATATCAGGCCTTAAAAATTAAGAAAACCAAATTTAAAAAGTGTATTAAGAACAGGAATTTAAAATTGATATTTACTACTCGAGTTATAAGCATACAAACTCTGGAAAAATAATATATTTATAGCACTCAGACAAGTTTGTTCAATGCAGCTGTTTTGATACATTAGATACATTTCTAGTTTGAACATTATTTGTACTTCAGACATTCCTCTTTTAAAGAAGAAAGTATCATCTGCATGCAAAGTGACCCACATTTGGTTTTTGACCATGTGTACAACTCAACAATTTACTCTTGAAGCCACAAAAAGGGCATGAAGATACCTTTAATACTTCTTGAGTGACAGGCATGCAAACTTTGGAGGAAAAAAAACTTGAAGTGCTTTCCCCCATGTTTGAATGATCACCACTGGCCTATAATGCAACAAAGATTGCTGAAGTTAACAGATTTTGAACAACCTGTGGAAAAAATAAAAATAAAAAAAATAAATAAATATATATATATATATATATATATATATGCTGCCGTTTTTCTAAAGTAATTCTTACCCTCCTGAAATTTGATTCACACTCTCTCTGGTGAAAAATGTAATTTTGACCCCTCTACAAAACAGTGGATTACTCAGTAAATATTCATCCATGAGATTTAATATTTTGATTTTCATCATTATACATGTTTATCTTTCTTCAGAAAGAAAATACTGACAATCTAAACTTGGCGCAGGGGAGCTCTGGCTGAGTGGACAGGAATGACCCTGTTTCTAGCACTGGCTGATGTTATGAGGTTAGTGTCAGAGGAGGCCATGCTGCTCAGTGATCAAACAGCTCTGCAGCTCGCCTCGGTTCTCATCTGTCTTTTAATATAATAACTGTTTAACCTGCAAACAAGATGTCGCTTTTGAGCGTTGCAGCAGGAAGGAAGCAGTGTGTCTGTTCGCACACAGCTATCATAGCGACTCAGAAGGAACGAAATACAGCGAAATCATACGGTTTTGGAATTACATAATTACACTGGTGAGTAAATATTGACATAAAACATATCAGTGGATGCGATTATTAAAGTTTAACGGATCATGTATTGGGTAACATATGGCACTATAACAGGCCTGCAACTTTCAAACCAACGGCAAATCAAGAAGTTAAGTTCTCGTTGAACTGCAGCACTTCAGACTTTTCAAATGACTCCCTACTACTGCATTTATGTTTGCATATAGCGTCAGTTAATGTTGATTGTGTAGTTAGTTCAAGAGTTAAATATTCAAGAGGCTTTAACGTGCATTGTCTTCGCACATTCTTTCATTTGGAGTGTCTCTAAATAACTGTCCGTTACCTTGCTCTTGGAGCAGCCCACGGACCGGAGCGCTCCGAAGAAGATGGGCAGCAGGGCCATGAGCAGCAGGCTCCCGTACGCCAGCGCGGTGCCCTCGGCACTGGACACGAACCGGCCCGCGGTCCCGTTCACCGCATCCGACCCGGTACTGGAGCCGTCTGGCACAGCTGCGTTTTGCTCCACATCAGCCATGTTTTCGCGCGTTTAGATACTGTGACCCTTATATATAGATATTCTGAGACTGTCAACTGAGTGTGCTTCTCATTGAGATGAGCTCGGATCTCTTTTAAGGCCACGTTTACTAACTCTGCCCGGTGAAGTCTCCGTGTTCTTCACTGCTCGGACACAAACACACTTACAAGCGTGCTGACACCCGGTGGACCGGAGGAAGAATGACCGCGGCGGTGTTCTGCGCGCTTCTCAAGCGGAAGGCTTTTAGGCCAGAGTTTTCCTATGAATTAAACACTAGAAGGATTATACTTATTCCTAAGGATTGTTATTATTAGGGGTCTAACCTGATCTTCTTCTTCTTCTTCTTCTTCTTCTTCTTCTTCTTCCTGTCTGTGGATGCAGGGTGCGAATTACATAATGGGATTTTTTTGTTTTTGAAAGAAGTCTCTTCTGCTGACCAAGGCTGCGTTTATTTGATCCAAAATACAGCAAACACTGTAATATTTTGAAATATTTTTTACAATTTAATGTAACTGTTTTCTGTGTGAATATCTGTTAAACTGTAATTTATTTCTGTGATGCGCAGCTGTATTTTCAGCATCATTACTCCAGTCTTCAGTGTCACATGATCTTCAGAAATCATAATAATATGCTGATTTATTAGAAACATTTCTGATTATTATCAATGTTGAAAACAGTTGTGTACTTTTTGGGGATTATTAGATGAATAGAAAGTTAAAAAGAACAGCATTTATCTGAAATAGAAATGTTTGTAACGTTTTACTCTACCGTTCAAAAGTTTGTGGTCAGTAAGATTTTTTTTTCTTTTTTTTTCCTTTGTTCCAGAGCAAATAGATTTGGCTGAGGGCAAATTTACATACCTTATTTTTAATATTGTTATTAGGGCTGTCAATAGATTAATTGTACACTCATTGTGAAATTAAGCATACACCATTTATCTTGTTTAACATATTATTTTGTCATCATGAAACATGAAAAAAAAACATTCAGATTTCACAGTGTATATGTGGTGTGATAGATAAAATCATATCTACCTGAACTGAGAATAGCGTGGGTATTTGGTGTCATTAATTGGTGCCTGGTTAGCAGGCTTGATGATCTATATAGTTGTTGGTGTGTATTGCCCAGGTCAGAGTCAAGGTTGAGGATCCAAGCGCAGGTAATTCACAATCAAAGTCACAAACAGGCATGAGGTCAAACACAATCAACAATCCTAACAATGACAGTGTAGTGATTCTGCTTTCACCAACCTAGGGGGGTTGGTGTATTGAAATAGTGTATTGATGGGTATTCACGTCACCAATGACATTATGATTTTTGGATCACGTGTCACTTAAGGTGCGGTTATGAGTACATCAGATAAGAAAGATTGGTGGGATCTCTAACTTGTAGAACCTCTTACTGTATTGTCAACACAAGGAAGACAACTGTAATAAAATAGATTTTATTAACAAACGATTGACAAGAGTAATCAACACTTCTATTAAATTAATACAATCAAGGAAAAAGGAATAAAGTGCATAAGATGCATAAAATGCAAGTGATTCCATTGGGTGTTCCTATGGCAAAGTTATGTTATCTTATGAAAAGATAAACTGAAACTAATAAGGTGAACAACCCTATTATGCATCAAACAAATACATAGAGAGATTATTTGTTCTTAACTGATCAGCTATATAATATCTAATGTAAATTAGAAAAAATCATATACTGATAATATACAACAGCCAACAATGCAGTGGGGGAAGGCGCAGGAATCCGTTTCGACAACCTTGAACACGAAGCGCTGGAGGATGCTGGTCTCCTGGAGCACCAAAGGGTCCTAGAATCTGGAGCTCAGACATGGCCCTGGAGTAGGTGCAGAAGGTCCTTAGTCTGGAAAAAAACAGACGAAATTAACTTGAAGTGAAGGTTTGCTTGCTGGAGCTTAACCTTGTTGCAGATGTCAAGTCAAGTCAAGTCACCTTTATTTATATAGCGCTTTTAACAATACAGATTGTGTCAAAGCAACTGAACAGCATTAATTAGGAAAATAGTGTGTCAATAATGCAAAAATGACAATAGTAAACACTAATTTTTCAGTTAAAGGCAGTTCATCATTGAATTCAGTGATGTCATCATCCAGCTCAGTTCAGTTTAAATAGTATCTTTGCAATCATTTGCAATCAAGTCAACGATATCGCTGGAAATGAAGTGTCCCCAACTAAGCAAGCCAGAGGCGACATGTCTGTGTGTCTTCTGCCTCTCTGGGCTAGAGACTCAGAACTTGGTCGATCTGCTTTGTCTCTCTAGGATGGAGACTCAGGACGTGCTGCATCTGTTGTTGTCTCACCGGATGAAGGCTCTGAATGCAGGGTATCTCTTTCAGGCTCAGAACGTGGTCGTATCTGGTGCTGCCTCAAAAGCTGGAGACTCAGAGCTTGGTATCTGTTATTGTCTCTCTGGTCTCTCAAAACGTTGGTGATCTGTTTCTGTCTCTCCCCTTACAGGATTGAGACTCAGAACAAGGAGTGTCTTTTGCAAGGGCACATTTATCCCTTTCAGATGAGGAGGTGATTGTAAAACCAATTCTCCATTTCCATGCTCCGTTTCCATCAGAGCAGGGGAACATAGCGTGGCCCACCCTTCTTTCCTCCTGTGGAACTTATCTGCATAGTCCAAACACACATTTAGAAAAGTGTCACTAAAGTTTTACCAATGCATTATTCACTTACCAAACCACAACCAGAATACCTTTGGCAATGTTACGAACACATTAAGTCCAAACATGATGGAAAAAGATTGAACTGTCCTGCATGCATTCATTTGTCCATTAACAGCTGAGTTTGTGTAAGATGTTGCACTACACAGCGCTGTAACGGAGAATACTTATTTCTCTGAATATATATAAGATGGGTGTTTCACCCACTGCTGCTGAAACCTTGGAGGTCCTAAGGAATTTTTATAGCAGTGTAGCAAATTAGCTCAAAAGGGAAATATTTATAATTAATTATAACTGGTTATAATTAATAATAAATTTTTATATTAGATCTTAGAATTAACTGTAGCAGAATCAATATTATAATTATTTGATCTGTCCGTCCACCGAGCAGACAATATAATCATTTATCAATTCTAGGAAAGATTATTTTCCTGGCCAAGGAAGAATAGCTTTCCTACTTTATGCAGTACTAGCAGTAATTTAGCATGTAGCAAGGATCAACATTCAGTGACTCCGAATTGTGAGCAGCACACAGAGACAATCAATTGTGAATATAAGTGATTTAATAAATGAAACTATAGCTAATGTACAACAAGACTAAGCAAAACACATATATACAGAATAAAGAAAAGGAAGGAAGAGAGAGAGAAGAGCAAAAGAATGGCAGTATTTCACATCAATTAACCACAACCTAATGAGAATCATCAAAGAATCAAAAATCACCTTAAAAGGGGCTCAAACTTAAACATGGTTGTAAACGGTTACTTGCATTGGCTTCGATTGCTGAACAAGAGTCCTGATGCGGTAGACAACGGAGGTTCTTGATGAGTTCTTTAGGAGTGAGCTGGAGGTTTTCTGGTTCTTCTGAAGATGGGAAAGTCCACAGCGAATCAACAAAGTTACTTGAAGATAAAACTGCCGGAAAATCAAACTCAAGAGGAGAGTTTTGAGGAGTCTTGGATAGTGTCCGTCTCAAAAGAAGAGGTTTCTGAGCCAAGATTAGTCTGAGCTAATTACTTTTGAAAGTTCCTATCCACACCCACCTTTTGGGTCCATTGGCCATTTAGTACCCATATAAATGTAGAATCTGGGGCCAGGACTGTAATTTATATGCAAATGTCAAAAGGCTAAGAGGGGTCTCTAAAGACATAAAACTCCAATGATCATCCATGATTTTAAGCAGACGTCACAGCAGTCACAGGCCAAAAGCGTAGGAATCAGTCTATAAGTGGGTGAAGGGCAGAAACTGCATTTTGACCAATGAGAAGTCCTGTCCTTCCCAGGCTGGGTGCCAGAGGTCTTCTTCTTTAGGTGTCTGGCTGTTGTCCTTGCATCTTTATCTGATGGCATTGGACAGTCTGCCTATGTTAGTCAACCAAGATCCAATCAAAATGTAGCAAACCTTTGTCCACTCTTGTGGTCAGAGAGGGGCCCCGCCATAACCTGGGCCCTGGATTGTGCTGTCCACTACAACGTCACAGTCTTCAGCCGTCACAGATGCCATTCTACTTATGATGTAGCGAGTACATCGGGTGTTATGGGAAGTGTTCCCGGTTCCGGTTGACCTAATTAATGCAGCCTAACAATCCTTTAACGGATCTGAATTATAGAAATGCGATATAATAATGTGTATTATGTGTAAGACAGGTTAAAGAGATGGGTCTTTAATCTAGATTTAGTCATAAATATTAATAAAAATTAGTCATAAAATTTTATCTAGATTTTAGTCATACTTCCTGGTTCTAGTAAGAACTCTAGCTGCTGCATTTTGGACCAGCTGGAGTTTGTTTATTAAGCGTGCAGAACAACCACCCAATAAAGCATTACAATAATCTAACCTTGAGGTCATGAACGCATGAATTAACGTTTCTGCTTTTGATATTGACAGCATAGGTCGTAATTTAGATATATTTTTGAGATGGAAAAATGCAGTTTTACAAATGCTAGAAACGTGGCTTTCAAAGGAAAGATTGCTATCAAATAGCACACCTAGGTTCCTAACTGATGACGAGGAATTGACAGAGCAGCCATCAAGTCTTAGACAGTGTTCTATAGCACACTATCTGATGCGATACTGTGGCTGACAGCTGCATGGTTATAATTTTATCTCTAATAGTATCGATCTTGGAAGTAAAGTAGTTCATAAATTCTTTACTGCTGTGCTGTTGGGAAATGTCTGCGCCTTCTGATGCTTTATTTTTTGTTAATTTAGTCACTGTATTTAATAAATACCTGGGGTTGTGTTTGTATTCCTCGTTGTATACAGAAAAATACAATGACAATAAAGGCGTTCAAATCAAATTAAATAATAATTAATTAATTAAAACATTTTTAAAGAATAATCACACAAATTATCTTCCATGTTTTAATTTTAGCTGTAAACCTCTGTTGTGCAGCACTTTGTTTGCCACAAAAAAGAAAGGGTTTGTTTAATTTTCATTTGATTAAAATATAAATTAAATTGTTGTATGCCATAATTTTAATTACCAGAAATATTAAAGTACATTACACAGAATTTTTTTGGGGGAAAAAATTAATAGGGTCCTATCAGTGTTAAAAAAAAGTTTTGATTATTAAAATTTAATTACACCATTAAAATGAAAAACACAGAATTTGTTATAAAACAGAATAAAACAGTATATCATAGGGCTCGAAAAATTATTTTTGTTCAACTTTTAATAAATTGCTTAACTTGTATAAGTTTCATTATTTCAATTAATTAGACATGCTTTTTGATTAATAAAATGTAACTCCAGAAAAAAAGCGGGGAAAAGATAGGAAAAAATAAAACAGAATTTGGGAAAAAATAAAACAGATTTCATAGGGCCCTAATTGTAACGCCCCTGTGGACTGTTTATTGTGGTTTCTTCCCCTTTTGTTGGTTTAGCCCGTACTATTATTAGTTAATCACCTCATTGTGCTCACCTGTCTGCCCCTCGTTATCTGCCCTATATCTGTTCCTGTCTCTTGTATTTGAGTTTGTCGGTTATTCCGTGTGTGTGTGTGTGTGTGTGTGTGTACACTGCCATTCAAAAGGTGTTACCTGGATCTGCCTTGTTGTGTCTACATTAAAAGTCATTATTGGAATCTTTGTCGTCCTCGTCGTCCTGCCTGCCTCCACACACCGTGACAGAATAACCGACCCGTAAAGTATAGCGGTGTCTTTTCCCTCGTTTGTTTTCCCGGTTTTTGTCAGTTTTTTATTTTTCGTGTTATGGATTACCCCGCCTTCCAAATCCTCCTGCTGGAGCAGGGGGAACGCTTTCTTGAGGACCACACGAACGACTTTCTGTTCCTGGCTCACCTCATGCACTACCCGGACCTTTGTACATTCTATCAAGTTGGTCGTCCTCGTCGTCCTGCCTGCCTCCACACACCGTGACCGTGACACTAATCAGTTGACTTTCCTCATATATTTGCATCAATATAGGGTATATTTTTCTACACCTTTTTTGCATTAATGACACACTATTTTCCTAATTAATGCTGTACAGTTGCTTTGACACAATCTGTATTGTTAAAAGCGCTATATAAATAAAGGTGACTTGACTTGACCTGACCTTTCTTGTTCTTACTAATTCAAGCTCTCTCACCTTGTTATATTTTACAGTTTGTCAATTGACATAAGATTTTGTAGGCTTTACATACACATTATCAGGGTTTAAGTGCTTTAAGAACTTTATGCCTTCTATGCTGTTAGGGTGTAGGCCAACTCGAAATGTAGGACTGACACCAGAACACGTCCACAATGGAGAATATGCTAACACCCTCAGAAAGGGTTCGACTATAATACATATTACACACTAAGCAGGCTAACACACACCCATTTTGTTGTTTGATATTTGAAATAAATTATAGGTAACAAAATGCTAAATGCAATACCTGAGTACAAATGGAGTGAGATTGAAAAATGCAGCAGTAAGTAATATTCCTAAGAGTAAAGGAAGAAGAAAGACAAAAATGGTACCATGGTGGAATAAGGAGTGTGATGAAGCTATTAGAAGGAAAAGGAGAGCATACAAGAAAGTAAGAAGAATGCATAACTATCAAGATTTAATGGAATATAAGAGAGAACAAGCAAAAGTAAAAGAGGTGGTAAGAAGGGCAAAAAGGCAACATTGGAGAGATTTCTGTGACAGAATAGGGAAAAGTACATCAATAGAAGAGGTATGGAATATGATCAGAAGGATGAATGGAATAAGGAAGGAGATAGAATATCCTGTTTTAAATGAAGGGGAAGTCATAGCAGTAGAAAACAGTGAGAAAGCAGAAATGTTTTGTAATACATTTATAAAAGTAAACAGTACGGAAAATCTGACTGAAGAATTTAAGAGGGAAAGGGAGGAAATATTAAAAGAGCATCCTCATCTATTGGACAAAAGGGTTAAGAGATAATATAATGGATGTCCCATTTGGAATGACGGAACTAAAACGAGCGCTGAGGAGAATGAGAGAAACTACTCCTGGTCAAGATGAAATCAGCTATTATATGATCAAGCAGAATCTTGAATCTTGAATCTTAAGTGAGGAATCATCGAGAGTAATGTTATTGTTCTATAATAAAGTTTGGGAAATGGGGGTACTACCACAAAGTTGGAAAGAGGCACTGGTATTGAATTTGCTGTGGGGCATATCCAACAACACCTATTGCAATGCAAGTAGAGATAAATGAAATGCCGCTTTATATTAGAAGGCAACAGTTAATGGCTGTATACTGGACAAATCTTAAAAGTCAGGATGAGGTACATCCAACAAAGAAAACACTAGGAATATGTTGGGAACAAGGAATGAATGAACATAAGAGTTTTGGATGGGTTGTAGAAGAAGATATTAAGGAGATGGGGATAAACAATTATAGATGTATACCAAGAGTAATGTATCCACATAACCCCTTATGGATTCTTCCTCAGGATTCATATTCAGCAATAGTCAGTATTGATAACCAAAAATCTGATTCAAGGCCAGATTTAATCATGGAAATCCTTCAAAATCTCTTTGAGTTAAAACAAAGTAGAATAGAAGTGCAGTTTATGTGGGTTCCAGCCCATGTGGGAATTAAAGGAGATGAAGAAGCAGGTTAATTAGCTAAGCAAGCAGTAGATGATGAAACAGTAGAGCTATCACATAGTATAAGAGAAATAAAATCAGTAATAAAGGAGAAAGTGATTAAAAAGTGGCAACAGTATTGGGATAATGAGACTAAAGGGAGACATTTATATGCAGTACAAAAGAAAGTGGGAGAAATAGGAGGGAGGAAAGTATAATTACAAGACTACCCTTACGAAAAAGAAGTTTATTCAAGTGTGCTGTTAGTATATTCTTTTAAACTAAAAAATAGGAAAGTATACTTTGAGTCTACTTTTTTATGTACTTCTCAGAAATGGGCTTTATGTACTTCTCAGAAATATACTAAAATGACATTTAAGTATACTTGACTTATACTGAGGAAAAAGTCTAAATATATTTGAGCTATACTTGTGCTCCTAGAATCCGTGTCGGAGTGAAACTGTAGAACATGTGATTATTAATTGTAAGGGTTATGATGAAGAAAGAGAAGAAGTATGGAAGAATGAAGGAAAAGAGTTAACATTAAAGAATATATTAGACTCAGATATAGGAAGTAGTACGGTGAATGTGTTGTTTCGGTTTCTTTTATTATGAAATTATGAAATATGAAATTAGAAAATTTGCAGTCTCAAGAAGTAAAGATATAGCCAAAACCAAAAGAAACAAAGAAAATTGCTTAATTCAAAACATAATTGATATATATGACAAACAAATAGAAAGTGAACAAGATAAAAATCTTTTAATAAAATTACAATTGGAATTAGAACACATCTATGAATATAAAGCTAAGGGTGCGTTTATAAGGTCAAGGAGAAAGTGGTTAGAAAAAGGTGAATCGAATTCTAAATATTTGTTCAATCTTGAAAGAAAAAAATTAATAATAATATAGGTAATGTTGCTTATTTTCTAGATTCACTTTTAAAAAATGCTAAAACTATAGATCATCATTCTAAACACATATGTGATCGAGACATAACTCTTGACGAAATTCATAAAAGCATTGAAAAGCTTAAAAATAATAAAGCACCAGGCAACGATGGGCTGACCTGTGAATTTTATAAAGAGTTCAAAGAAGATATTTCAGAGTTTCTTTTATATGTCTTCAAATAAATTTTGCAAAATGAAGTAATGTTGCCAACTGTGTTACAGGGATTGATTACATTGATTCCTAAGCCAGGTAAAGACCTATTAAATATAGAAAATTGGAGACCTATAACTCTAATCAATAATGATACTAAATTACTTTCACATATATTTGCAAGTCGATTAAAGTTAGTTTTAAATGAAATTATAGATGATTGTCAATCTGGCTTCTTCCATGGTAGATATATTGGCAATAATATTCGATTAATATTAGATCTGATTGACTACAATTTTCTTTTAAATGATGATAGTTAAAACATTTTTATAGATTATTATAAAGCATTCGATACTGTAAACCACAATTTTTTATTTGAAGTTCTTGATTTCTTTGGTTTTGGCAACAACTTTATCCGTGCAGTTCGAACATTATATAAGGATTGTAATAGCTCTGTTAAACTACCCTTCGGGACCACTCCTAGATTTAATATAGGTAGAGGTGTTAAACAAGGAGATCCATTATCTCCTCTGTTATTTTTATTGGTTATGCAAGTATTGTATCTTCATATTAAAATCAATCCATTTCAAGGTATCCAGTTGGCCAATAATGTGATTAAATGTTCCCAG